TGGGAATAAATACATAATTAAAAAAAAACAGGAAACGAAGGCGTTAATTCAAGAAAGGGGAGGATTGTTAGGAATATATTCGTTCGGAAAATGCATTTATTTATTTTTAATGTTTGGACTAAATGCTCTTGGATCATTATAAATAGCCTACCAAAGCTTTAATAGAGCATTATTTCCATCGCCAGGTCCAGGGCTCGGCGCGCACCGCTGCTCCGCCAGACAGAGACAGGCAGCTGATGGCTCTGTTTTTAACCGTTATGATTAACGACGGAGCCCACACAGCAAATGGCCCGGGCGAGACTCGCTTTTATCAGACAGAGAAGGAGGGGAGGAAGGGGCAGGGAGGCAGAAATAAAGAGAGAGAGAGAGGAGTGTGTGTGGGGAGGGGGGGTTCGCTTTAAGCCTTCGTCTTGGCACTACATCGCACTGTATGAGTGTCTTTGAGCAAGGCACCGAGTCCCCTGTTGTTTCGGAGAGGGACAGCCTTAACGATAGTGTGCTCCCGGGGATCGATACGAGATCACGGTGTTATTAGCAGAGAAAGGACCTTACTTGTGGACGGTGGTATTAAATTGGCGGAGTTGGGGTCCTGCTCCCCGCCGGTGGCTCTTGGTTCAGACGATGCCATCAGTCCTCTGTTATCTCCAGCTGGGAAATAATTCAACTGCAAACAAAACGGTCCAAGGTTAGGAGCAATTCACACCTAACATATACATTATTTATCTGAATAACTACAGTGTATTTTATTTGTAGACCAGGATTAAACCAGAAAAATGCGATGAATCCCCAAATGACAACTGGTTCGGCTACAAAGTCGCGCAATTTGGAGAGAAATTGCGCACGACGCGCAGCAATACGCACGTCTGGATAAATCGGTGATATAACACAATGCCTTTGTGGGTTTATTCATTTTGGAGATAGCCTGCTATTTATTGCATTCGAATGGCCATTAAATACTAATTCCGTTTCATACATTAATAACATTTTAAAGATAAAATCCAAAAGTTATCAGCTACACATATAAGATACGTTGTAATAGCTCGTAAGCAAAGTCATATTTTTCCATTAGATATCAGTGGGGTATCAGACCGTTATGATGCATACCTTGCCATATGATATATTGAGGACAATTTGACGAATGGATGCCATGATAGATTGACGAAGTTCTTTTTAAACAGCCTGATTTATTAAGCAAATATTGATAGGATGCAACTATTAATAACCCACGTCATTTAGGCTACCTATTGACTGAGCGATCGACATTTCAATTAAGTTGCGCTTTGAACAAGCGCATCCCATGCCATCATCACTCAATGTCACCATGGCATGAGAGACAGACAACTAACTAATTCCTTCTGCCACTCATCTGGCACGGCGAATTATAACATATTTTTCTTTTGTTGGTATATTTCTAACCCCTAAAACTACGATAAAAAAACACCTGTGTGAATTTTTTTTCAAAGTCCTATCAAATTTCAAATGAAAGGAGGAGACATCTTACCGGCTCACAGGTTGTCGATTCCAGAGAAACTAAAGGTGTTTCAATCGCCTCCAAAAGGCACGACAAGCAACAGTCCAGTTATGGCGGAATACCAACAGAAAGCGCGCTAATAAATTCCCATCCAGCGGCGCGCAAATGACCCTTTCTCCCTCAAGAATATATCTTTTTTTGTTTATTCGTTATTTATATCTCAGGCTGTCGGCTGCCCATTGGTCTCTTCACGCAAGCATGAGTCACAGCCTTGCCTCCCTCTGACGACTAATGAAGCTTCCCTGAGTGCCTGTGACAGCCACAATCCACTTGAAGAAGCCTAAAAAGCAAAAAGGAAAAGCACCAGTGACGTATGTGTGTGGGTGTGTGTGTGTGTCTCCAGGTGTGGGTGGGTGTCACATGATGGTAAAAAGACATAGCAATTGACCTTGAGATGAGAAACACACTTGGGTTTAAGATACAATACAATGGAAATCAGATTGAATGGGCTTCTTATAAAAAGCACCCAGAGAGAGCCATGAGCCATCCATCCACTGTAATACTTACCTTCATGAGATGACAGCCCTGCATGCATCATCATTTTTGACCTGCACCTTACACTTTTTATAACCTTGACATGGACAATAAAACTGAGACATCAAAGTGAATCCAGCCTGGCTTTGACTTATTGTCATCCTCATGCTGTGTCCTGGCACTGAATGGGCAGCCATTATGTTCATTCACTCACTGCAAATTACACAGGCTTTATCAGATGGCACTCACACTTTCTCTTTTCACGAGTCATGCGTGGAGACCACTCATAAAGATACGCCCTGACATGTGATAATAACTCAGAACATACCGGCTGATAGCACGCTACACTGTAGGATGCTGATGGTGTAACCTTTGATGATATTACAGAGTGCGGAGAATTATAAAAAAGATGCTTTATTGTCAGCATCCTCATCCAAAGAAATGCCTTCACTGCAGGCACGTGCAAAGATATTTTGAGGGGCTGAAACACTTAAAATAGGGTACCCCCATTTGATTTTAGGTGTCACACAAGAGCAACTAGAGAATGCAATTCCTGAAGAAATTGCTAGTGGGAATGCTTTATGCTGAAAATCTGACGCTAAACTGCTATGCTGAAATGTAATGTGTAAGAAGAAAGTGAATAATTTAGATTGAAATGATACATGAACACATGTTCGAGTGGTCTGTCGCCATGGCAACGGCATTTGATGGCACCCCATAATACGCTTAGATGCGTTGATGGCTGCATCGTTACCAAACCTGTGAAGTTTTGGGCCGTTTGGAGCATTTTCACTGAAGTTATGAGAAAACCGTGTTTCATGGCGAGCATTGTGTTGCCATGGCAACGGCATTTGAAGAAATCTCAAAACTGTCCCGTAGATGTCTTCACGGCTGGACTGTTAGCACACATGTGAAGTTTGAGCACTTTTTGAACATTTTCATAGGAGTTATAGCGACATCGTCTTTTATGGCGATGCTGTTTCCATGGAAAACGGCATATGGTGAGATCTCAGATTTGGCATAGAGCTGTTGAGGCATGGACCGGTGATATACAAGTGAAGATTGGGGGACGATTGGACCGTGTCCATTGGACTTACAGCGACATCGTGTTTCATGGCGAGTGGTCTGTCGCCATGGCAACAGCATTTGATGACACCCCATAATACGCTTAGATGCGTTGATGGCTGCATCGTTACCAAACCTGTGAAGTTTTGGGCCGTTTGGAACATTGTGTGAGAGAGAGAGAGAGAGAGAGAGAGAGAGAGAGAGAGAGAGAGAGAGAGAGAGAGAGAGAGAGAGAGAGAGAGAGAGAGAGAGAGAGAGAGAGAACGTGAAGCATGTCAAGGAAGTTGGGTATCTGAAGTGTAATTTTTGTGTACTTTCGGGGTTAATAATGTGGCCTTTTTGGCAGTTTAACTAAAGGTGTGCGGCTGCTGCTGTGAGGAAATATCAGCCTGAAATTACAATGGGTTTTAATGTTAATGTTGAACGTTTTTGTCACTTCATGCCCTCAAGAGGCATTTTGTTTAATTAATTTTGCTTAATTATTTGTCATTTTTCAAGCTACGAGATGTTTTCCTACGTTTGTCATGAAAAATGATGTCTCAGGAATGTAGGGTTTGGGAATTATGGCAGTTTTAAAAAAATATATGAAGGCAAATTTCAAGATTTGCACTCTAGTTAATGTTAAAATCTGAAGAAAACCTCTTTAACAAGGTCTGAACAATGTTTAATATCTCTAAAAGTAAGAGTCAGATTTAAAAGTTGTGTTACACGAATAATGTCAGAAAGATGTGTAACATTTTAAAGTTGGAATGAGGTTTCTGAGTCAAAGTATGAATGAACAGTTAGCAGTTGAAGTCGCATGAAGATTGTTCAAGTCTGAAGATTTTCTCCATCGACTTCAATGGTTAAAAATGTGATGAATTATGGGATGTATCTCTGGAATTATGAAAGTTATGAATGATAAAAGTAATAGCCTGCGATTCCCGACCGAGCTGAACGTTTTGATGTTTGAACGGAGTTTCTGCAATGTTGAATGTGGGAGGAGAAGAGGGCCAAAATAAGTCGGCGGAATAATAAAAATGTTGTCCGTAGCATAACATATAGTTGGAATGCTGTATCAGCATTCCCACTAAATAACTACAAATCAATACAAAAAGTGTATGAAATAATACAAATCTGCACACTTATCATGGTCAAGCAGATGTCCAAAGTAGTCCAAAATAGCTACAGTTAACTAAAATCTGTATAAATGTTATTGATAATTACTAAATGACCAGTAAATATGTAATCTCTGAGGCAGAACACCTATTCCTATACCTTGTGTCCGTCCACATTAAGCATTTTTCTCCCTGCATGTGATGTATGATATATAAACCAATATCGCACAATGTGATTGCAAGCTGTGCTGCATTGTTTGGGAGCAAATGTGAAGATTTTTATTCACAGGGCACTGCACTCGTCATTTGATGTTAATCATTCCCACAAATTACAAATACTCACCTGGAGCCTTCAAAGGCAAAAATACCCAATTTCTGCTACAGTGAGGTGAGGCATATGGCTTCACTTCTTTTTTTGGGTCACCCTATATGTGTTGCACACTTATCAATAAGTTAGAAAAGTTTGGATTGTATGATGATTACATTTGGTTTAACTTTAGCTATCATGGGCTACTCATAGTTATGCAACCACAACATCTAAATAAAACAATTATTTGTTTAGCAGCGAACCAAAGAGGGTCAATGCAGTGTCGCTCAGTGTACTGGAGCCTGGACTTGTTCACGCCCCTTCTTTTCAAGGACTGTTAATGCCTACAGTTAAAATGTAGACTTGTTAAAATAAATTAACTATACTTTTATATGAGAATATAGAGAATTCGGGGTTTTCCTGAAGAGACATTTCTTATTTGTTGATGGGGCTCAGTTGGAAAAGTAATGTTCAGCTTGTGCAAGATTATAGGTTGTCCACTTCAAATATTTTATTTGCAGTTAAAATGTGAAAATACAAACCTAATTGTCACAACTTTTACAAAATGCACAAAGAAAAGGTTGCTTGGATTTAAATATATACAATTGTCCAGAAGTAACAAGATTGACAGTGACTCACATTCAGTTGTATTGGTACAATGACTAAGGATGAATGTGAGAAGGAGGACAAGACTTGTGTCTGTTTACTTGCTTTTCTTCAAGCTCATCCTCATCTGATGATGAGCCTGAGCTTGGAGATGTTTCCTCATCTTCATTATCCCCGTCAGCATCTTCCTTCTCAGTGCCCTGCCCTGTCTCTTGCTCTGATAGAAAAGGCATGACAAAAGCTCATGGTGAAAAGCAATGATTTTGAATATGCTGTGTAGGTTTTTGTACAAAAAGATTTAAAAAAAAACCTTACCCTGTGACAGCTTCTTCTGGATCAGCGGGAGAAACTCAGAGGCCTCAGGATTGTCTGGTTCATAGATTAGAACTGAAACATGGAATGAAAGAAGAGGCAGCGTTGGCTAACATCACCGGTGGCTGATTTATTGACTGACAGACTTCAGTGGATGGATGCAGGATACTTACTCATCCGACACAGTTTGCTGGCCAGCTGCAAGTCTCTGTCCATCACAGCTCTGAGGAACTGAAATCAACATTTTAGTTTGAGTCTCAATCTCACTTAATTATAACAAAGTTGACGCAAAACATAATTTGCTAAAACAAATGATAAAATGATTTTTAACCTATCAGAATCAGAATGCTTGTGTTTATATAAACAGGAGAAGTTGTAGTGAGAGTGTCCAATGAAATAAAAAATAATAAAATAGAATTAAAATATCTTTATAAACATTAAAACATGTTGCATAGAATGTCCAAAATACAATAATAATATGTAATACAAGAAGTTTAAGTAACGTGTATTCCAATATATACAGTTGTGTGATAGTATTAAAATAAATATTAAAAATATGAATGCCGAATTGCAGTTTAAGAGGGTTTTGTTGCGGATGGTCCTAGTGTCAGTCTTCTGAGGCATCTGAAATGAAACAGCCCAAGTGTGTGGAGTCATTGATGGACATCATTCACTTTACCTTCATTATCAGCTCCAATGGTGCCTTAATGTCTTCATCCTCCTCTTCCTCGCACTGTGCTTCCACCATATTTGGCTCATGTGTGGGGAGAGGTACTGTACCTAAGTCTGCATGGCACTTCTTCAAGTCTTTCATTTTCAGATCTTTTCCAGGCACTGCATTGGCCTGTGTGTGTTTTTGAACCCTGAAATCATAATCGTTTGTTTATCAATTCAATACCCACCTCTTGTCACATTGAATGTAAACAAAAACGTTATATATTTTTGCCATTTTCCACACAGTACAAGACAAAAAAAATGAAGAAACTTTTGAATGGAAGTAAATGGGGCCTTGTTTCACAACACCTAACCTTTATCATAACATCTTGAGCAGGATAATCCAAGTTTCATTTATCCAGCTGTATGCTGACTACTTCCCAACATGCATTTTACCCAAAACTTTGCTATTTATTTAACAAAAGCTGAAGCATTCCGGTACTGAAATAAATGACTACGTCATTATAGCATGTTCATTTACAAGCGTAGCCAGTTAAGTGCTAGCCATCTTAAGGTAGCATGTGGCTAACATCATTATTTGTAACCATTATTTATTAACTGTACTGTTAATTAACGTTCGCATATGTAATGTCTGTAAGCCAGTTGCTCACCTGCTCATTGAGGAAGATACCTCGACTGCAACTCAATATACTTATTCTTTAAATTGTGAAACGTTCATGTAAAGTTAATTAAGGGTTCCTCATGTTATGGCTAACCTGGCTAGCTAGCTAAGTTATTTCAAGCAGGACAGACGCAACAGCGTAGCAAACAGTCGTTACCATAGTAATAGAGTGCTGCCTTCATGGCTGCTGGAAATATGGCAATTCTAAAGAAATATGCAGACTACAAATAAATATTGTCGTGCCATGACTTTTGGAGACTGAAGAAGCAGTTGTGCACCACTGTACGTAGTTGTTTTAAAAAAAATCTATTTTAAATAGATAATTATGCGCTTTTTATTGTATTAGTTGTTCAACTTTAAATAAGCCCATTATTATCAGGTGTTTTAGAAATATGTATAAAATGTTACTGTAGTCTTCATTACATATCTTTTTGGGCTAAAACATCACTATGCTACTATTTATTATTCTGCTGTATATATTTATAGGCCTACCCCCTTATTTTGCACCAGAAGTGCAAAGCTAATATGGCTGATTTGTGGAATTTTTTGACTAAAAACCTCACCAAAAATACATTTGAATGCAAATTAAGTCAAATATAAAATATCTAAGCCTCAGAAAAAATATATCTTGAAGGCTTTTCTCCCTTGCCAATCTTACACAGCCTAGCTGTCTCTGAACACCCCCCATGTCAGCCATTTGTCATCCAATAAGTAGCTGTAACTGCTACATTAGCTGCCCATGCATCGAAAAAAGCTGCCCTCAGTCTTGAATCTGTGTGTCTGTGTTGTGAGGATCGAGCTGGAGGTATTGTGTGTGTGGTTAAAAGATTCAGGTCACGTCAGCACTTGGCTGTACTGTTTCACGGTTGTTTTATAATCTCAGGAAGATACAAACTGTCATATTGACAGGCTGAAGACTTCCCACAGAGACTAAATTTGCACTTGACTGACAGGCTTGCTCATGTTGTGCCAGAGTTTAGAGCAGTGTTTAGAGAAAGGTGAGGTTAGTTTGGACTGTTAAATGTGCATGCTTTCTCTTCACCTCCTACTCCATCACACACACACACACACACACACACACACACACACACACACACACACACACACACACACACACACACACACACACACACACACACACACACACACACACACACACACACACACACACACACACACACACACACACCAATTAGGCAGTGCAGTGAAGTTGCTCGGACTGAGCTCTCCCTTGGGTTCCCTCTCATGCACAGCGACATGCCACTGAACCATGTGCGTGTGTTTATAAGTGAGTGTGTAAATGCTTCTGTGTAGGCTGTGTGTGTTCTAGAGTGCAGAGGAGGGAATAAGTAGCATTTAATGTGCTTTGTCAATGCATTAGTGGAAGAAACTCAGCAAAGAAATGGGCAACAACACATCCACTAGTCACAGTCTATTTCTCATAGAATGTTGTGGAATTCTTAATCATTTAGATTCGATTTTTAAAAGGTCAAGGATTCATTCAGACTTGTCGATTTTGCTTCATCCGGACTCTCTGTGGTGTGTTTTGATTGGATTAGATCTACAAAGCAGGCTACATAAGCAAACAACCCAACAACTGTAATCAAAGAATGTTCGAGAAAACAGGTTTACAGGGATTTAAACGGGCCAAATTATGCTCATTTTCAGGTTTCATAATTGTATGTTGTTCCTCTACTTGGAGATGTTTACATGCTTTAATGTTCAAAATGGTCTTTATTTTGTACATACTGCCTGTGCTGCAGCACCTCTTTTCACCCTCTGTCTGAAACCAGGGCCCAGTCTGCTCTGATTGGTTAGCTGGCCGGCCCACATCGACCGGCCCACATCGTCCAACTGGCCCACTTCAGTACCGGCCCATCGGGATTCGTCCCGAACGTCCCGATGGCCAGTCCGCCCCTGCATACAATGTTTCAAAGCGCTAGCCAATAGAAGTGCGAGTGTTAAATAGTGATGTCACTAAGTAACTGAAGTAAACAAAGGAGTCCAATTGAGGGTTAAGTATAATAACTATAGCTCCACAACTCAAGAAGTTGTAAAGGATTAAAAAAAAAAAAAAGGGAAAAAACGAATTGGTGTCCATAACTTGTAGACACCATCAGTTCATTTTTTTATAGATTCCCTTGATGGTGTACAGATGTCGGTCAAAAAGTTGAGTATTGAATGAAGGACAATTGCAACCCTCAATGGCTTCCATCTTGCCTACGGTTCTCACAAAATAGTTATTTGGAGGTTTAATAACTCTTTTGCAATTGCCTATCATTCAATACTAAACTTTTTGACAAACAAGGTTCAAGGTTCAAGGTTCAAGGTTCTTTATTGTCAATCTGACATAGCTACAGAGTAATTATGCAGTTGAAAATCTTATGTCACAGGCTTCTCCAACAATGCAACATAATAACATAACATAATAACAATAAGAGCATGAGCAATACAAAAATAATAATAGTTATAAAAATGAAATAAAGTTATGATGTGGAATAGTGCAGTATGAGTCTATATACAAGTTATTGGAATGATATATATATATTAGGTATTAGATACATACTACTGAGTAGCAGATGAATGTTTGATGTTGTTTCAACAGTTCAATTTTTTAACAGTCTCACTGCCCGCGGGAAGAAACTGTCTCCGAATCTTCTTGTCCTTGCCAGGATGCTGCGGTAACGTCTACCAGACGGCAACAGAAAGAACAGTTTGTGGCTGGGGTGATGGGGGTCTTTGATAATCCGTAGTGATTTCTTCGTGAGCCGCTGGGAGTAAAGGTCCTCCATGGATGGCAGCTCCGTCCTGGTGATGTGCTGTGCAGTTTTCACCACCCTCTGTAAAGCCTTACGATCGAGGTCGGTGCAGCTGCCGTACCAGGCCGTCATGCTGCCAGTGAGGATACTCTCTATCGTGCACCTGTAGAAGTTGCAGAGTATCCTGGAATCCATTTTGAACCTCCTCAACCTGCGGAGGAAGAAGAGCCGCTGTCGAGCTTTCTTGGTGATGGTGGTGGTGTGAAGAGACCATGTCAGGTCCTCAGTGATGTGGACCCCAAGGAACCTGAAGCTGCTGACTCTCTCCACCGTAGTCCCATTGATGGCGATGGGGGCGTGTCCCTCTCCCTGCTGCTTCCTGTAGTCCACAATCAGCTCCTTTGTTTTGCTGACGTTGAGATGGAGGTTGTTATCCTGGCACCAAGATGTCAGGTTTTCGACCTCCTCTCTGTACGCCGTCTCGTCATCGTCTGTGATCTGGCCGATGACGGTCGTGTCATCAGCAAACATCTCTACATCTGTACACCATCAGGGTACTCAACAGTCAAAATAGTGACCTCCATTAAGCCATTCCTGTCCATATGCACTCAAAATAGCAAGTGTAAGCAAGGTGTGGAAGCCATATGTAAAGTTATTGTGAGCCGCAAAATCAGTTTTGACAATTTCAGCTAGATTTATGGAGACCTCCCTCAACCTTCCTCCCAGAGAACAGACATACGGACACAGAGAAGCACAAAACACACACACACACACACACACACCACACACACACACACACACACACACACACACACACACACACACACACACACACACACACACACACACACACACACACACACACACACACACACACACCACTACACACACACACACACACTCACTCACTCACTCACACTCATGCACAAACAGTACCAGCAGCCCATCAGGAACACCTGCCATAGAGGGTTGATGGGAAAATATATTCCGCACAGACGACATGATAACAGAATCATTTCACACTTCAGTGATCCTGGGCACATTCCCTTTTGTGTGCATGTATGAGGTTGTGGTTGTGTATGTGTGTGTGTGTGTGTGTGTGTGTGTGTGTGTGTGTGTGTGTGTGTGTGTGTGTGTGTGTGTGTGTGTGTGTGTGTGTGTGTTTGAGAAAGCCCCAGCATGCTCATCTATTAGTGTGCTGGCGGGTTGTATGTACTGTATGTGCCTTGAGAGACTCTGCTCCTCACAAATTTCCATAAGATGAGCCCCGGGGCCGACTGCAAGAGAGAACACAGAGCAGGGAAAGGGCCTCGTCACAGTCCTGCAGGATGTCACAGTGTGGAACGTGAAGCATGTTCTTCTGTGATGGAACGCCACTGAACACACTGTTCCCAACATTAACAGGGATCAGCATTAACAAAACGAAACCACATCACGCTGTCACAATGGCTTCATCTGTGTAACGTTGTCTGTGTATGTGGCACGTTGACGCTACTGTGTCCTCCAGCACGTGTGTTTATGAAGCATCTGTGCAGGTCTATCAGTGTGATGTGGTGTATGACCATCTATCCTCACGCCTCACAGCCCCTGGCAGGCTGAAGGCTAATAATAAATGCAAATTACAATCAGAGAAGCAGATCGGAGCTGTAGAGGATAATTGCTCCATTATGGCTGTGTGTGTGTGTGTGTGTGTTTCTTGTATAACAGAGACAGGGGGGGGGGGGGGGGGGGGGGGGGGGGGGGGGGTTACCGAATGCCAGGTGCTGACGTAACAAACAGACTACATAACAGGACAAGTGAGGTGTTACCTTATTGATTTATTTGTTGGACAAAATTCTACTTTTCCAGTACGAGTGCCATGTAAAGCTAATTAAAGTGTATGATGCAAGAGAAAGAAACACCGTCCTATTGATCACACGCTACCCCTGAATGCCACATGTTTAAAATCAGTGTTTGAAAAGCTGTGTGAGTTTTGTGTGATTTCAACGTCATTGACAGATAAGGCCTGTGGCGGGTCTGTCTCAGTGACATTCTTCATTTTCCATTTCATTTCATTTATTGGGATTCTCATTAGCTTCATCAACACAGAGGGTGGTTTGTTCATCCTGGGGCGTGCACGCACATACACACACAAAATGTTGTTTCAACAATAAAATATAATATAATAAAATATAGCATTGCTAACAACCTCTAATATGACTCATGGACAACTAAAAATCTACTTATTTTTGGAAATGAACTTATTTTCCTTTTCCAGAGAGTTAGATGAGAAGACTGATACCTTTCTGCTCTGTTACAAGTTAACATACTGTAACCTACCATGTTGAATTGTTAAGCTTAAAAGTGTAAATATGACAC